TCTCCCTCCCAGTGGGGACATGAACATTTTTTCTTTCTTCTCCCCGCTCACCACTGAAACATGTCAAAATATGGTTTTTTCAAAGCCTCTATCTCTGAAAACTGAATAGAAAGTAACCAAATGATTCAGAAGTTATCATAAAAAAGACAAGCAGCTCCTTTGCCTGATCACGTAAGCCTCGTGTCTGTATGAAAACCGGAGAAAATCCTTTTACCCAGTGCACAGTCCCCACTTTTCTTTAAAGACAATCCAAGCAATGATACTTGGAGCTGTGCTCACTCAAGCAATCCATGGGCTGGGGAAATAATTACAGAGCTGTACATCCCTCGATCACCGTGTGGGGGAGGCAATTACGGCGCAGAGTAAGCGCAGCAGACCGGAAGCAATTGCTCTGGTGTGCTTGGATTGCGGTCTGCTGCCTGGCAGGTCTGACGTGCTGCCAGGGAGGAAAGCAGGTTTGGAGGCCACCTGAGCACCTCAGTGTACCGAGAAGTGTCCCGGGGGATACTGCAGGTGTTTGTCTATGCCAGCCTGACACAGCTCCATGGAGGTTGCACAGAAGCTGGATGGAGGTGTTGTACATACTCTTGTCTGGCCCTGCTGGCATCTCATGGATGCTTTGGTGGGGACTTACCAGAGGTGAAGGGCTCCACATGACCACCCATGTCCCACAAGACAGCAGGTACAAAGTGAAGCTCATTCAGCACAGACTTAGAGCTCTGATAATGAATTTCTTTTTACAGGAGGGAAAGAAATGTGTGCCAAGGTATTGCTCTCTTTCCTAAAAATAAATGCAGGGAGAAAAAGGATTCAGACAAAAAGACCTTGCAGGATTATCAACCCTCACCAAGAAGAAATCCTGACAGGCCCTGATAAATCAACTGACAGTTTTAATGGTAAACTTGACAAGACAAAAAGATATTTTTTTAACTTCTTTCTCTGACATATGAAGCTTCAGACTTGCCTACAATCTACAAAGCTAAAAACATCTGTAAGAATGAAAACTGAGGTACCTGCATGACTCCAGAGGGTGGAGATTTACAAAAAAATAAACATAATGAGGTTTTTTTGATCAGACACTGTTTGTGGTGGAGAAGTTTATGGTGAAAGGCATATGACATTTTCTTCTGCAAGGGCTTCCCTGCAAACTCCACCCCCCATCCCCCCTCCAACTGAGCCCTTCAGACTCAGCTATAAGCTGTTAGGAAAGCAGCTAATCCAAAAAATTGCAAGCATAAAAACTTACATGCCTCGTTTGTAGAAAAGTGGAAAATTAGCCAGTAAACACTGTCTGCTGTTAAAAACCAGAGTACTCAAGAGACGCTGTCCCTCCTGAGAGGTTACCCTAAAGCAGTGGCCTCTGGACAGGTCCCCTGAATGGCTCATGTGCGCAAAGCCCCTGTTGCTTTGCTGTGACAGCTCAGGCGAGAAGGGCCCTGGACACCCATCAGCGTGATGCCAGCACGACCATGAGGACACCTTCTACCTGTGAGGCAATGGGAGTCACATCCCAATCTCACAGTCCGAAGAAGCAAGCGTGATGTAAGACGGGATACATGGGCAGAAAATGGCCCCGTCCTGACAGCGACTCACTGGTAGCTGAGAGAGCGGGACTGGGCAGCCACAAGCAGTGGGTGTAAGTCTCTTGTGGAAAGGAGAATACAGACCAAAACAGAAGCAAGCAAATAAGCAAGTACACAACACAGTGATGGCTTCAGGGTCTCTGATGAAAAGCCGCGACTCTTGGTGTTGCTTGGGATAGGAAGATCACCAGGCGATGCCCTACTCTTGAAAACTGGATACACCAAAGGAAGGGAACTGCTTTTGCTTTCACAGAGTGCATTTCTGAATACATTTCCCCTCCCTGCCGGCTCAGCTAAACCTGATGCACATCTTCACTTCCACCATGCAGGCAGACCCTGCGCAGCCTCCAAGAAGCCCTAAGGCAGCAGCACATTGGCAAGAGCCTTGGTGGAAAAACCAAGTCCCACACAGAGCAGAAATAGTCCCTGCAAGGAAGCACATTGCTTTTATGGAGCACAGGGAGAAATATCTTTCTATTTGTAAAAGGCGTCTCTGAAACCTTACAACACTTATCCTTGTACAATTCTTTTGCACCATGATGTAGACATATAGAGCATAAATGTGTACAGGTGCTGCAGGAATAAACTGAGAGCACCTGTCCCTTTGGACTGAGCTGCACTGCAAATATATCTGCTGCAAATCAGGCCTTCATCTGGAAATGCATTGCACACCTAAAGGAGACCAGGTTTTTAAAAAAAAGCTCACCACAAATGCTAAATTCTGGCACAAAGAATCCATCCACCACCTCTGAAGTTCCTACATGTTACAATTTTTCCTAGACTGGACCTTTTTAGTAGAACTACCCAGGAGACTTGAAAATAGGAAATTTTCAAGAGCTCAAGCAACTGCAAAAAAAGGTTTGAATGCAAGTGCCAAGTTTTGATCTCTAGTTATAGTTCTGACTTTTGATAAAGGACAGGGAATGTTAGACTACTTTTTTGTATTAACAAGAGATCTCAAATGTTACTCAGGAGTTTACGTTAAAAGACCTATCCTGCTAGCAGGATGTAATGCTTTACTACCTCACATATAAAACATCATTCTGAAAGATTTATGCTCCAAAGTATGAGTTGATACCACTGTTGGTATTGGCTTAGCTAGGTGCAGGATTCTGGTGGTTTATACTAGCTACTTTAGCCAGTTCTTTAGCCATAGAAGGTTTTGGCCTTAATTTGAGCCTAATTTTTCCACTGGAAAATGCCAATTTGTTGGACGTGGGGTTTCGCAGAAGTGCCAGTTTCAGTGAAGGCCTGTGGTTTCTCAGGACCTGCTGGAGGGGAAGGCAGGCAGCGAAGGTACCTGCCTGGGACGTGGGGGAATGGGCAGACCGACGTGCCTGTGCTGGACTGGGATGAGCTGGGACTCGAACATCTTTCTGTGAGATATTTGGGCAAGGAGTTCTCAGCTGATTGAGCTGCTGGAGTGAGCTAAGAGGAGAGATGGGAGGAAAGGAGCATGCAGGGGTGGCGTTATTATTATTACCATTTTTTAGTGGGGAGAGAAGAAAAAAATTCTACTTCCAATGCAAAACCAAAAAGCTGAAGTCAAAATTCCTCAGAAACATAGTCCTTCCTCTGGCTGGATTTAGCCACAGCTTGCCTTGGTGAATCCAAGGGGTCAATTAACAAAGATTAATTTACTGCCTCTCAGCCTAATAAAAGCAAAGCACCTGCCTGACCTTTCTTGCTGACAGCCCCTAGTTTTAGGCAGTCACATTCAGCAGTTCCCCATCATTATGCTAAACCAAACCAACATCCAAGTTTCCATTTTCCAGGACCTAACTCCTTCAGCACAATATCATCTTTTGCTGCCTTTATTTGAATTTTTCCACCTTCCTCATGCTCCTATCAAGGTAGGATTCATGCTGGCCCCTGGGATCAGCTCACAGCTATTGTGAATGCCCTATCCTTCGTACGCTGGCTCTCAGCACATTTAGCTTCTCAGCTTTACTGCTTTTTAGTACTTAATTGTGTTGTTTATTTTGCATTTATTGGACGATGCTGTGCTTTCATTGCTTAGATAAAACTGGCTGGCAATCCCCAGGCCTCCTGAAGGAATGCTACTGCAGGAAATTAATGAATGCACTATTTTCCCCAGCACAGTGCAAACACACTGCTAATCACGACAAACTCTCAAGCCTTCCTTGGCTGCAGCATTGGTGAAAAAATCCTGCCTAGCCCATGCGTGTGAAGAGACGTGGCCACTGAAACTACTGACGAATAGCTCTGCCTGAAGGACCAAACAGCAGAATACTGAAGTGTGTGTGGATCCCACCCGATGCTTTATTTTTTGCTGTCATCACCATCAAGCAAATCCCTAGACCTAAACTTGACAAATCGACAGCACTCAAACAAGGAAACTTGTTATTTTCCACTGGACAAAATTTAATTGTCTCAGAGGCTTCCAAATTCAATGACAGACACTTCATTTAAGGCAAAAAATAGTAGTGCTGTATCTCTTTCTTTGATATTGAAGACTAGGATTCTTCAGATCTGAAGTGCCTGCTCTGGCTTGACAAACACCCAGCACTGGTAGATTTTAAGAGCAGGCAGATTAGGAAGACAGGCAAGAGTGTGAAGGATTTTGGTGCTGTGGAGTACAGACTGTAGTTTGCAATAGGCATTGCTATCACCAGCAGATAGAAATATAAGTGAACATTTCCTTGCAGTCACTGATGAGACTTCCAGTGTGACTTTCTTTTCTGTCACGTTACATTATTTGCCATGCTGGGAAACTCAATAATTACTCTGCAGGCACTTACAAAGACATAAGTTGTCGAAACAAATGATGGGGCATGAGGTGATCGTTAGGCACAGGCTGGAAACCAGCAAGCCTGTCTCATGAAGGAAACAAACCAGAACACTGTCACTTCTCTGGTAAAAAATATTTCTATATTAAAATTGGACAAGAAGAGCAGACTGAACAACGTTTCAGGGGGAAAGGAAATAGTTCCAGGAAAGCAAATTCATTTCTGCAACAGAAATTATTTTTCTGCTCCTGGAAGGATATTACCTGGCTTGCTTTTCCAGATGATCAGCTTGGGAACCAATAGATCAGTTTTCCCAATGGGAAATCCAAGTGTTTGGGATAGCATGGGTGTTTTCCACTCAACAGTCATGTTCACAGAAGCTCCCTAGCTGGACATTGTGTAACCTGACGTGGAACCTGATTGCTGTCAACTAAAACCTAAAATATTTTGTAGACTCCTCCCTCAGTAAAATACCTCGCAAGACAACCACCACCATCATAGAGACATATCAAGCTGGGGAACACACTACACTATTTAACCACATCCCACTACCCTGGAGAATGTCTTGCCCACATTTGGGTCTTGGTGAACTTTCCTTGCTGGTGTGGGGTGATGGATACTCCATGGATTTAAAACTCTGAATTAGGAGGAGACGTTTTAACATTACCTCATGAGACAGGTAAAAGGCAGCAATTCCCAATGGCCAGAAGCAGCAGAGCATGGAGAACACAGTGAGGCCAAGATGATCTCTTGGTGGCATCATCAGGAAATTGTCTTCGCTTTCGGTGTCACTTGAGTAATCGCTCTGGAATAGCAAGGGAGAGAGAAATGTAGAGGTGCTGGTTAATGATATCATTATTTCTCCTCTGTTGTGGGCCAAGGCTGTGATCATCTGCCCTTAAAACTCTCCCCAGTCACGCCAGGGCAATTCCTCAACATCAAGACAGGCCTCCAGCACTCATGGTAGAAGGTTTCTGGTGACCCACTCTGGGGTTTCTACAATGCAGGGGTCTCTAGATAGGGCCAGCTCTGGGGGCACTTGTACCCTATTCATCAGGGCCCATGCACCCATTCTGCTCTGCCTTGGCTCCACAGCAACAGGACCACGGGAGGTAGCCTGCCCTCCTGCAGTGTCCACACCAGCCGGTGGCATCCTTCAGGACTTCAGGATTGGGACCATGGCCGTGGCAGGCCTCCCTCCCTGCCCTGCTGAAAGGCTCCCCGAGGCACTAACCCCCTGTTTTAGCAGCACCCCGAGGGGAGGCTGAGAGACCCAAACCCTTATGTCCGCACCAAAATCAAACAGGAGAGCAGTGGGAGCACAGCTCAGAGGCAGGGCTATCTGGGGAAGCCGCAGGCTAGGGCTGCAGCTGCCCTGTCAGCACCAATGCCTGGGGAAGCCACCCCGCCAGCATCGCAGTCTCAGCCCTCTTTTTCTCTCCGACTGCACGCCCAGCACTGGCTAGCAGGTGTCCTCGGTACAAACACCAGGGGAACCTCCAGCCCCTGACTGTGTCACAGCTTCCATCACTATTGCATGAACCTGAAAGCAAGAAATGAGAAATGACAAGAGATTTTGGAAATCACTGCAGGGAGCTGTAAAGGGCCCATTTTACATGCTCATCTTTCATGAATGAAAGAAAGCAACTCTCTAGCCAGATGAACCAGGGTGAACCCGGGTGGGGTGGCACTTCAGAAACATAATGTCACATATCTGACACAGAAGGAGCTGTAAGGGTTGGGTGCTGTGCATCTCCTGGCTTAAATGCCAGTCTTCTGGAAGGTCACTGCTCAGGTGGCCAGGAGAATGTCAGCCAGCAGGGGCAAGGAGACATATGTGGTACAAACCTAAGCCAAGATAGCAAAATCTGAAAGAGAAAAAAGCATGTGTTGCTCCAGCAGCAATGGGATGCTTCCAGATTTACAGCGTGTAGGCAGAAGCACCTGCCGAGGCATGCTTCTTAGATGCCACATGGTCAAGCTGCAGCAACCCTGACCTAGCAAAAGTTTCTTTCATGGTGATTACTAGGACTGGTCCAAGGGGAACTCACTGACCCACTACTGAGCAAGTACAATTCTCCAGCAGAGCAGGAGTGGAAGGCACCTGGCTCTCTGGTGGCTTCCTCCTTGCCTGCAGGGAGTCCACATGCAACAACAGGCACTGAAGCTGTGGTTATCCCAGGCTTTGGTGCAAGAAGGGGCCTGCAAAGCTTCTTAACTCACCTTGGGAGCATCTCCAGCCTGAGATGAGATGGCCAAAAGTCTTCTCAAAAAACCTTTTTGTAGTTGCATGTTCTTCACTCACTGAAGGGAAGACATCTGTGTCACATTTAGAAACTTACCCTTTGGGGCATGGGTTTTGCATCCCTCTTAGAAACTTAGCAGCCTGTTCAGGAGGTTTTGGCCTTTGGGCCAAAATAACTGCTAAAGTGACTTTGCTCTAGCAGTGAGCTCTAAGTGAGAAACTCCTGAACAGGCTGCTAAGTGTGCAAGACAGGAAAACGAACCCAGGTGCAAGAAGGTAGTTTCTAAACATGCCACTAGTGAGCCATGACTCAGAAGAATCTAGGAAATGCTGGCAGCCTAACGATATTTGAAAGTTTTGGCACTGGGCTGACCCATTTGGGGAACTCACCAGGAGACAGCATGGAGAGCCTGCTTTGACAGATATTGTTGCCAAGCACCTTCCACAGAAGGTGGGGGGACCTGGGAAGGGGCCTGAGAGGGAGAGGTGGGGGGACCAGACAGGTCCCATACACTGAGATTGCATGGTGCACGTGAACACCAGCACGTAGAGCACCCCAGCAGAAGTGGCAAAGCTCCATTTTGCACAAACTCTGTAAAATCCCACTTGTGAAGGGACACCTGCTCAGGCTGGTATACATTGTTTGAGCTTGGTGACTTCCCTTTCTCCTTTAATTTTCAGAACAGGCCATGTAAATAATTTTTAATGCCAATAATCTTTCCTTTCAAGAGTCAGAGAAGAGAGGGGGAGGGAGGAAATCCACAACACTGCTGAAACTGTCTCTTGAAACAGTGCCCTTCCCTGAACTTCATGACAGGTAAGATACAAAACCAAAAATGCTTTTGATTTCCCAGTTGGATGAGTAGTGTGCTGGCTTTGTATCTGTGGAGAATACCTGTCTGGTATTTTAAACTGCTTTTTCTTGCAGATGAGACGAAATGGGTCAAAGATTCTTGAGATAACTTTGATCAAGTGCTGAACCAGAAAATTATCAGTTATGCTGTTTTCCAAAGGGACAAAACATTCTCAGAGTGGTGGTGTCACGACATCTCAGAGAGCTTCCATGCCAAGCAGAGAGGTGGCTGTTAGATTGCAAGAGGACAATTGCAGAAGTTTTCTTAGTTATGCTGAGATAAAAATGCTTACTGGGGAAGATTTAAGTCACTATGGGCTCATACTAACTGGATGGTAGCATTATACTGTGAATGCCATTTTGATGGGTGAAGTCCCGGTAGTACACACTGGATCAGATGACCTGACTGTCAGTCACCAAGAGTGACAGAATAATTCTGATCGGAAAGCCCTGACCGTGGAGTCCAGATATGAACCATAAGGGTGAAAAAAAAAAAGTCATAAATCACGGAAAGAAATCCAACAAAAGGCACCTCTCACCCCTTCCAGCTAAACACTCATTTCTCCAAGCAAATCTTCCTCCCTGATGTTCTCTCTTTTACAACACAAAACCCAATCCTGATCTCACAGAGAGATCCTCCCTACCCAGGTTGACAATTTGGCTACCTAGCTGGCTTTCTTCACTTATTCCTGGTTCTGCAAGAGCTGCACCCTGACACTGGAGGAACTGGACATTAGGGGTGCTGGGAAGTCAGAATTACTTTCACCAATTACAGTTGCTTTGGGTTAGCAGACTAATCTTGCATAATCACTAATATTCTTGTCCACAGCACTGCTCCTTTCAAGTCTCTTTATAAATGTACATGGAACTTTTCACAATTACATCGTAACACCACTAATCTGACTGAAAGCTTTTAACTCTTGCAGAAGCTAGGGAATAGCATAGCTGATTAATTTTCAGTGTTTGGGTGGTGAGCAAGACTGCACAGACAAACATTTCTTTATTTAACGTTAAGCTAAATGAGTTTAACAATCTGAAATATCAAACTATCAGGTTTTTCTTTCTACAGGTGTACCACCAGCGCATCCTCCAGGCAAATAATAAGCAATCAAAAGAGAACTTGTGCACCATTAAAAAAAATACCTGACAAAGAGAATCCCTTTCTTGGTTCATCAGCATAGCAAAGATCCCTAATAGTTACTCTCCTAACAACTCCCAGACACAATTGAGTTATCCTCTTTGAAAAAAGCTCTTCTATCCTGTCAGTCAGACGAGATCTCTGTCTTCATGATGCTAGAAAAATCTTAGGATGAAACAAGGCAAAATACATCCTGATGCAGCTTGCAGCCACCTAAGTGACAGGAGGCAGGAGGATCACGGGGTGCCAAGGAACAGCAGCAGCAGCAGCTGACAGTCTCTTCAGAACACTGAGGGATTCACTCCTTTTCGGACACAACATCTGGTTCCAGCAGTTTCCACTGCACCTGCACAACCCATTCTAACCACAACACACAGAGAATATTTACAGAAGGCAGTGCCTTTCCAGTGCAAGCCAGGCTCTATCTTGGAGATTCATTTTTGTGCTTTAATGTGGAAGGTGTAATCTCGGCAAGGTCTGCAGTCCTTCCCCTTGCCAAGCGAGGTGCTCTCTCTGCAGCCCATGCGAGGTGCTGCTGTGAGAACAGATACCTGGGCAAATGGCCCTGTAGCAGAAATGACACAGCTCTGAAATTACTGAGCAGACAGTGGGGATTTCCTGCTTCCAATGGATCCCTTTTTGCAAAAGCAGTTATTACAATGACAGCAACCCTCCTCATCCTCACTGAATACTGCTGCGTATCCCTCCCTTGGAGTTCAGCTCAGAAGACCCTTTCCCTTTCCCTTTCCCTTTCCCTTTCCCTTTCCCTTTCCCTTTCCCTTTCCCTTTCCCTTCCCTCCCTCCTTTCCCTTTCCCTTTCCCTTTCCCTTTCCCTTCCCTCCCTCCTCTTTCCTCTTTCCTTCCAGCCCTGCCTTCCTTTCCTCCCTTTTCCTGCCCTGCCCTTCGGGAAAAGGACCTCTGTTTCCCCAGAGGGCCAGGTGACACTGTCAGAGGGAAGGCTTTCACTGGGCGAACCGGCTGGGATGCCCCCACACGAGCTCTTCGACTCTGTCTTAGCATGTTTTTCAATGGTGCACATCTCTGCAGCCCTAAAATGCATTAGGCACAAGCAATGTGTGCAGGATACAAACTGGATTTCTGCAGAAACTGTGGATGTGACAAAGGACAAAACGGAGAAATTAACTTTGCTGGGTTAAGTGAGGTGTTTACTTGCCGGACATTGGGTGCGTGGGGTTTTGCAGCTGATGAAATTTGGGTGCTAGACAATCCAACAGGAAACCTTGACCACTGTATTCAAGGGGACTGCTTCTGACACTTCCCAAATGACCTGAGCAAGAAGTCAGCCTTGAATGTAACCGCCAACGTGGCCACCCTGGAGACTGATAGGATGAAGCTGAATTTTAGTCGATGAAATTTAACTCGATTGATGAATTTTAGTCCATGAAATTTAACTAGCTGCTTCAGTTGACAGTAATGTTTCCTCATCAAATGACTGCAGAAGGGAGGGGAGAGAGAAGAGGATATCTAAGGTGGGATACTGAATCACGTAGACACCCCATTCCTGAAAGGTCCAGGACTGTGTTTCACGAGGCAGCAACCCCGAGAAGG